CAAAAACACAGCGCCTTATGTAACCCGGCCCGGAGGGCTCCCTGCACGCTCTCCCGCCGCCGAAGGCCGGGCCACCCCAAGCCCCCGACACCCTGCCAGCCCGGCGCGGCGGCGGAGGCAAACGTTCCAAAGAGCCTGTTCAAAAACACAGCGCCTTATGTAACCCGGCCCGGAGGGCTCCCTGCGCGCTCTCCCGCCGCCGAAGGCCGGGCCACCCCAAGCCCCCGACACCCTGCCAGCCCGGCGCGGCACTCTGCAGCCCACTTCCCCCCCCCCAAGAAGCCTGCGTGCGGAGGGAGGGGGCTTCAGGGCAAGAGCGGCCTCCAGGGGAGGGGAGGGGGCAGGCATTTAATTTAATTTAACCCCCCCAACACACTGCAGAGGGGGCGGTGGCGGCAGGCATAGCAACCAAGGCCGGCTTGCCTCCGGCGTCGCCGCTCGCCTGGCGCAACAGCCCGCCTGGGTGCACCCAAACTTGTTCCGCTCGGCTCCCCCGCGGGCGGGCGGCTTGCAAGGGCTCTCTTTCTCACGCGCGCGCCCACCGGGATGGGGGTGGGGGTGGAGAGGTTGCAATGCACCAGCTGCCCAGCCCCCGCCACCGGATACTTCTCACCCCGATGCCCATCACCGCCCGGCGCCCGCCCAGCCAGGCCGGCGGCGGCAGGAGCAGCAGCCGCCCCTCCACGCCCCCGGCGCCGAGGAAGAGGAGGAGGGTTTTTGCAGGGGGGAGCGAATGGGGGAGGCTGTGCAATGGGGGGGGAGCAGAAAGGCTGGCCGCAGGGGTCGGGGGGGAGAGCGCCTCTGGTTTCCGGCGCTGCAAGGGGACCGCGCGCCTGGCCGCCTGCGCCCTTGCAAGGGGGCGACGGATGAGACCGGGAGGGGAGGAAGGGGGGGCTCCTGGACGGCCGGCGGAGAGACCCGGAAACCTCCAGGAAGTGGGGGGGCCAGGCGGAGGATTGCACACACACATACACACCCCGGCTGAGCAGCCGCCGCCACCGCCTCCTCCGGGGCGCGCGGTCGAACCCAAGCCAGGCAGCCAGTCCGGAGAGCGTGCCTTGCTGGCTTTCTGATGGAAGAGGCGGCCCAAGCCAGCCCCAGATGCCCGGCCTGCCGGCTTCGGGAAAGGGCCGCCGGGCGATGCGCGGATGGGCCCGGGCGCCTCTGCCCCCTTCGGAGGGGGTTCCCTGCTACCCAGCGCCCCCCTTTCCCCTCCCGGACTAGCTTTCCTTTCTCTCCTGCCCTGCCCGGCTCTCCCCCACTCTTCTGTTTTAGCCTCACAACAGCCCTGCGAGGTAGGTGAGGCTGAGATAGAAAGACTGTATATAGTTATAGCATTTTTGCTGGCTGGGTGCCGTAACAATAAAATTCATTCATTCATAGTTATAGCATTAAGGTAAGAAACAATATATGCAGTGTTATATTTGTTTTAAATGTCGCAATGGTTTTACGGCTCCCGGTGTTTTTTTTTCCGTCGGAAACGGGTCCAAGTGGCTCTTTATGTCTTAAAGGTTGCAGACCCCTGGCCTAGAGCATCCCTGACAAGTGTTTGTCCAGCCGCTGTTTTAAAGACCGCCAGTGAGGGAGAAGCGCACCACCTTCCAAGGCAGCTGATTCCACTGTGGCACAACTCTTACTGTAAAGACTTTTTTCCTAATATCCAGCCGGTACCTTCCCGCCCTTACTTTAATCCCATGATTGCGAGTCCTCTCCTCTGCTGCCCACAGGAACAGCTCCCTGCCCTCCTCTAAGTGACAGCCCTTCAAATACTTCGAGAGAGCCATTGTGTCCCCCCTCAACCTCCTCTTCTCCAGTCTGAACATTCCCAAGTCCCTCAGCCTTCCCTTATAGGGCTTGGTCTACACCCAACCTCCAATTTCTATATAAAATTCATCTCAGCCTTTTCACAAAACTTTGAATGTATATTTTCTAATACCAGAAAGTGGGATCAATAATCAACATGACAGAACTGCACACAGAGAGCTATTGCACAATTTAAAAAAACATTTTTAAAGTATTACATCTCTTTACTTCTGATGTCACCGGGAAGATTTTTTTCATTAAGGCTAGAAGTTTTACTATCCAAGACTTCCTTTCCTCTGGTGTCCGTGTGTTGCTCTTGTCCATGTTCAGACTCCTTGCTGGGAACCTTGGTCTCCTAGAGCTGCTGGCAACCAGACCGCCAACCGAGCACATTTTCAAGCAAGAGGTTACTCCTATCAAGCCCTTTTCTCCAACAGGCTTATGAACAAAAAGGCACATTGCTATTGACGACTGGCATTTCCTTTGTCTAGGGTTAAGAGGACAGGAAGAAGACATCACCCGTGACGGGAAACCTGAGCAGATCTAGAAGTTGGCTTTGCATACACAGTACTTCGCTCCATTATTGTGGGTTAGACTCCTGAGATTTGAGAATGGCGACATGGCGGGAAGTACTCCAGCATTCTTTGAGGGCAGCTCTAATAGAATAGGAGCGACTTCAGACTTCACTGTCTTTTTCTAAAAAGTCCATCAAGGTCCCAGTGTCCACAGGAATTAATAAATATTCCACTCCATCAGCACCCTGAAAACAAGGACACTACATATTAGAGCATGGCATAAGCACAAGATGTTTTTGTTCAGCCTTGCCAGTATATTCCGGTGTGCCAAAATGCCTAACCAGTCCCGAATGACTTCCCCCACTGAAGGAGAAAGAGGATTTTGAGTTAGCATGCCATATGCGTTGTATGGTATTAACACAGAGTATGCACACGTTGTGGTTTGTTTCAATAGTTTACTAGTGCACGTGTTGTATTTCTGTCTTAATTTGGAGGGCAAATTCACCACGGTAGTTCTACCAGCATTCATTGTTCACCCATATTCTCTCAGCACAGTTTCTCCCTGCAGCATGGACATAAAATTGTAACAGGACCTCACTTACCCTTTTGGTCCGAATGAGCTTATGATCCCTGAATTCTGTAAGCTGGGCCCTGAGAGTGAGGTCACTGTTGACCAAGAAGGCCTCTCGACACTGTTGATAGAAATCTTGGAAGGGAAGCCCTATTAGGAAAGAAAAGCCACAACATATCCAGCATCAGAGGTTTTATAAACCTCTGTCATGTCCTCCATAGACTCTAAGTCCCCAAAGTCTTTTTTATAAACCAGAACAGCCAATCAGATCTCCAGTAGTTAATCAGAAGCCTTGCTGGGCAAAACCTCATGTGGCTCAAGCAAACAGACTCATGCTTACCCTGTTGATAAGTGTGCCAGAAACCCTAAAACCTTACTGGGGCTCAGCATCTGGGATCTTGGGACAGGTAGAATCGCCCATTCATTTCCATTCCACATTGGGCCATCCTGTGAAACCTTACCTTTTTTGAACAAAGGACAAGTCGGTTGGGGCCAGACCACCTATTTGTTAACAGACGTTTGGGACCATTATCAGATGCTTGAGGGGTAAAACTGTCATTTTAATAATTTTCTGACTGGTAACAGTAGCCAGGACATCAGGTACGGGGATTTGCATAGGACTGGCTACATCAGCTCATCACCCTTAGAAAGGAGGCTGGCTCTGTTGACCATAAATATCTGGACATTTGAGAATTTCCCTGGTCTCCAATAGAATAGCATGAAACTGGGGCCCACAGTAGTTTAAAGACTCCTCCTCCATCTTGTTAATCCAAGGAACTCCACACGAGCTCTGAGGAACAGAATACATCCTAGGTTAAAGTGTAAGTCGCTAATTTGGACCAACCTTATTGCTTTTATTTGGAAATCTGTGCTGTGAATTTGTGTGCTTTTCCCCCTGTATTTTGTTTTGCCTCTTTTCCCATCACTATTTGAAACCATCCGCCCCTCCCCTCCCCCTCCCTCCCTCTCTTTTATAATAAATTTTTTAAATAAAGACAATCCTCCTGGGTTTCCACCCTTCATTATTGGTCTAGTACAGCCCAGGCTATCCCAATCTTGCCAGACTGTGGAAGCTCAGCAGAGTCGGGGCCGGTTAGTACTTGGATGGGAGACCTCCAAGGAATACCTGGGTCATGATGCAGAGGGCAGGTAACTCCAAACCACCTCTGAAGATCTCCTGCCTTGAAAACCAGTCAGCTGTGACTTGATGGCAAACAACCCCCCCCATGCTAGAAGGGTACCGTCTCAGTGGGTCGGTCCACATGCTCTAGTGGCAATTGGTGCTTGGGGGGGTCAACAGTGGGAGGGCTTCTAGTGTCCTGGCCCCACTGGTGAACCTCCTGATGGCACCTGGTATTTCTGGCCACTGTGTGATACAGAGTGTTGGACTGGATGGGCCTTTGGCCTGGTCCAACATTGGCGTCTCTTATGTTCTTAATTGGTTACCAGGGTGCTTTCCAGGGAGCCCTTGGTTTAAGGGAGTTTCCCAGTTAAGGTCGTGATCACACGCACAATTAGCCGCCCCATAGGTGCAAAGGCCGAGTGGATTTAAAGGGCACGATCAGACATGAACATCTGGGAAGCGCCCCGCACCCGTCGGCAACCCGTTCTGGTCCACCGCAGAAGCAGAGTAAAAAGACACCTGGGAAAGTCCAGTAGCAAACAGGTTGCTACGGGTCACAGACGGACTTTCCCGTCTGATCGCTCCAGCGCGCTCTCATGGCGTCGGGATGATCTGATCAGGCCATCCCAAGTCCGTGCCGTTGTCCCCCCCCCCTTCTCAATATGCGCATCATCCCACACTCCACAGGGAGCCCTCAGTGCTGAGATGCGATTCATCAATTCCCCATTTAAGCGAATTGGAAACAAACAGGAAAAAGAACCCCCGACTCACCCGCAGTTGCGTCTGATCATGCAGTGGCGGGCTGCCCCCGCAGCTTCAAAGGACCGTGTGATCGGGCAACTGCGGGTCACATTCTTCCGGAGGGAATAGCCTCG